AAAATCGACTGTAATAGGCCATGATGTCTAACCTAATCTAATATAGACGTAAAAATACCCAGGTGGCAACAAGGGCAGGATCAAAGTAGTCATGTATTGCAATCTCCAATCCGCCTGCCAAACGTGGCGATCCCAGCAAAACCTTCTTTGAGGAGAAGTCCATGACCAGCAGTGGACTGAGTTATTTCTTTGTAACGTGCTTTTTAAATTAAAGAAAACTAAAGGAAAATAATAAAAAAGATGTAATTAATAATCTAGACGGATCTGTCTGAACTTGTTTATCGCGTTTTGGCGATAGCATCATAAAACATCATCAATTACGTACGCGGTAGCTTGTAGTCACGTGTGGTGCCACGCTGCAGCTATATTATGGTTGTAGCATAGGTCGTTTAGACCGGGGAAGGGGACCACACTCTAACAGAATACCAGCGTAAAATAGTAGCTCAATGCTGCTGTATTTCGTATTGTGAATTTAGAGATCCGGAAACCCTATTTACTGGAAACGGGGCATTCCACCTTAGTCCTCAGGGGTGAGTGACAACGCATTTTGATTCTTAATTGAAGATAGATGTAGATGTCTATAAGAGCATCCATTTATCATCAGGTGAACTGTGTGCTCGTTTGTCACCCTTATTTTTCATCAAATTTAAATTGTTGTGCCACGTTGCCTGGCTGCAATAATATTAATGTTACAAAAAACGTCTATGAAAATAAAACAAGCATCCGAAATAATTTCAAACTTGTTCAATACCTGCCGTCATTGATCGGACACGGCTTGTGTAACACTTTTTAAACAAATAAACTTAGGCGAAATTGCGAGTTTTGACTAAACTATGTTACTAAAGTGATCGCAGTGCTAAAAAAACTAGAAAATTATACAATCTATTAATACTAATAATAATAATAAGCATGCAAAGAGCAACACGTCCACTTTGACGAACCTTGACATTCATTGTACATCATCTGAGTTGCATAAGTCAATATATTATGTTTTGTTTGGTTGTTCGTCTTCTATGCGTTTTTTATCATTAATACGATTAAGATGAAAATTTGGAGAGACGCTGTGCGCGCAAGGTCAAGGTTTCTCACAAAAATTTGCAAACTAATTCCGGGCATATCTTTATCACGGGCAATATAGTGCTATGCTAAACTGTAAAATTGTACGTATTATATTTTCGTAGAGTCGATTTTGCAATGATCAGACTACCTTTTTACTCCGTCGCGGGCACAAAAATCTTAAATAATAGCAATAATAAGGTTAGTGTGATTGCGGGTGCGGTGCCTATCAAAAATACGATTAATTAACCTTCGAGCCAATGTTATTATGCTCCAGTCTCTATCTCTTCGGGGAACGAAATTAAAATAAGTGAGTGATTCTATTGGTGATATTGATAATCGAACAACCTAATCCAATTAAAGTACAAAGTATTCAAGGTTGGACCAAATGTTTTTAATTTACATTCTTTGGTCTAATCTTTTATAGGATTTGGATATATAATAAGTATATTAAAATTATTGTTTGTTTATGCGTAATTTATGCTCTACCACGCCATTTATTAGATTGTGGTAAAATTTTGTCAATATATTGCTTGCATTTGCGCGAAGGTTATAGGCATAGTAGCATCGATCACTAATAAAAAAACTAGATACACATCCCATGCAAAAATTCTCTAAAAACTGTCGCCAATTGTTTGGACGTAATGCTAGTAGAAGTAAATATACATTAATGTAAATTCAACCTTAACGTACAAATTAAAAGCGCACCCAAATGTTCGAGTGGGCGCTCATTCGGTAAGGACATATTTTGTCACAGATTGTGAATATAGTTTTTTATTAGTGATCGATGCATAGTAGGTACAATTAACTTAGTCTGTGGCGCGCGTTTCGTACCGACAAATATATTTGAAAGTTATATGTATTTCATTCAACTTCAATGAATGTGTTATCATTCCCAATTGAACAATGTAACTCTTTCAAATTTAAAACGATATTTCCGCAATAATTATTCTGTGGCTGCAACGCGCCGGGTACCAGCTAGTTGTTATAAATAGTGGATTATGAAAATAATCTTTTAACATAATTTGATTCTATATTAGTGCGTACGCTTGTAGAACTTTAATATCTCCTGTACCATTTAGAGCCGACTGGTCGAAATTGATTGCAACATCGTCATCATCAATGTCTAAGCCCAATGCCTGAGTGAAGAGCGTTTAACAGAGTGTAAGGCGTGACATCGCGTTTTGCATAAAGTTTTTATAGAAGGAAGACATATTAACCCAGTTGATGGTTAGTGGATGCTATAGCCCATAGATACCTACATCTAATATTGATTAAAAACTAAAATGCGAATGCTTTGATCATACATATATGCATGCAGACCTCTGACGACTAAGAAGGAACGTTCTTATTACCAGTAAAAAGTGTCTTCGGTCCTCTACACCCACCGTACAAAACAGCAGCATTATGCTGCAATTATAAGTCCTTTCCCAGTTGCACCGACCGATTCGTGCTTCAGCCTTAATCCTGTTGCAGCGTGGGTCTACCACTTGATAATCATTTTTAAACTCTGGCACTGTTGTTCTAAAATGTGTGTTTCTCATACACATTGATATTTTTTTATATATATAAAAGAAGAGGTGGTAGTCACTTACCACCAGGACGGGTGGTAAGTGACTACCACCGCCCATGAACAACTGCAACACCAGGGGAATCGCAGATGCCTTACTCTTACTTAACTAAATAATGTTAATCACTTCGCCTCGTGATCACAAGTGTTATAATATACTTATTGTAAATTTATTTCATACGGTTTGTAGGACGGTGCTAATTAGAGAGCGTACATAACCGTGAAGATGGGATGAACAAAACATATTACATAATAATTTCACCTCGCATTATCATATGTATCTAGATTCCGTGTCGCAGGTTATATCACTATTATATCATTCAGAGATGTACAACGTACAATCGTGCCTAGTTTATTTAAGAGAACCGGAACTGGCACAAACCAAGCCACGTTCAAATGTTGGTTCTGTAGTTTTTTTTAATAACAAACTTTGGAAATTGTATATCTCCCGTACAAACAAAACTGTCTGAACAGTGTATGATTTTGCGATTGTCATATTTAAAAACAATGTTTTTTTTTTATTCTGATGTTAGAAATGATATTAACCTTTACTAAATAATAACTACCTACGTAAAATTACAAAGGCTTTTGTCCTAATAACCTCTAGGTAAATTGCTACCACGGGTAATCTCGGAACTTCTATTGATACCAAACTCCAGAGGGAAGCTGCTGGACTTGCAATATTCGCTATTAGAAGTATTAGAAAGGTGAGTGATGAAACAACAGTAAAATTTGCCTACTTTACTTACTTTCACTGTATCATGTACCTACTGTGGGAGTCTGCAGCCGGGTTAGAAACAATATTCATATTGCAAGAGCAAGCGACACGGTCAATCTATATAACTCGGGGCCTCGCGAATCGCGGGTTGCTACATGACCTTTTCAAGGAGACTATGTATATTAATTGAAACTAAGTAATTGTACGGATTTGATCGCGTTTAAAACTTTTTAATTCCCGACGTTTCTGAGGTGTTTGACGACCCGATGTCGTATTTAGTCCAACTACCTTCAGTTTTTGAATATTCATTTTTGGTCTATATTTCGACACTACATATACAAAAATATAAATTTATTTAACAGACAATGGACTGTCTCTGTAGAACTGGTCGAGGTGATATAGGTTAAACTAAAAAATCTTTTCGGAGTAAATGCATAAAATTTTATAACAAAATCGTTTAAAATATAGTGCAACAATTTCTGATAAAAAGACTGTAAACGATCAATAAATTGAAGACCTTTGCAGTTGCTAGTCTCAACGTCCATGTTGTGGCTATCGATATATTATTAAAATAGATATTTAAAATCAGTCAATCAGAAACGTTTGACATTTGTAAATATAACGTGGTATTAAAAAAATAAGATATCCCAGAGTAGCTTCCCGTTTTTATCATAGGTCTTTTACGGGCCGGTGTAGATTACGACGTTCGTAAGAGCTCTAAACAAAGCTAAATTGAATAAATTAGTTTTCACTTTGCCTGTGACACGACGAAGACTTCCTAAGATACATCAGTAGCAATAAATTAAAGGTAATAATAAAAAAATATTAAGTTAATTTTTAAACGATTTATTAACGAAAAAAAACCTGTTATTAATAATATTAAGGAATATATGAATGAAAATAACCCCTGGGAATGAGGTGATCGCCACTAGGCTGGTTCTGAAAAAATTCATTTAAAAAATTTTACTAAATTATTGTAGTGTTTAAAAAATCTCGCTGGTTCCTCCCATGACAGAGATATTTTCCGAAGTAAATAAAAAAAAACTTTCTATAAGTATTACGTAATAATAATCTATATTGAATAAAAATCATTCTATTCTATTTTATTATACGAAAATAAGTCTTCGTTAAATTTAATTTTTGTATTACTTGACTGCTTTTATGATTCCGGAAAGTATTCATTAATTATTATTTCATATTTAATAACGAGAGCGAAAGTGATTTGCGTTGTATTGCAAATGACAACGATCGAAAAGATCCATTATAAAGACTGACAAAAATTTGTCATCCCATAATAATAACCTATTCTTTAGTGACATGAACAAAAACAATCTGGTTCTCAAGCTCAGCATTGCAGAACCCTATTCAAGTTACAACTAAAACTACGTATATTTTGTCGCTTTCCTATTGAAGTATTGAAGCCAAGAAAATCCAACGGAATGACGGCCGGCGGGCACACGCCGCGCTTCCGACGTTCCGACACCACTTTCGCCTACGTTCGACACCACTCGGACAACTTCGCAACACAGCTGACTGGGCCAAGGTGCGAGCGAGAACGCGCGCTAATATTAACGCTCACGCCAGAAAAGGACCGCCGAACCGCGCAACGTCTAGCGCCGCCATTTATTTCTTTCTAGTGTTCGCCTCCAAACTAGTGACAGCGTTTGATTATTGGCAAGAGCTTACACGTTTTAATTGTGAAAATTGTGTATTCAAGTGTTATGCACGCTTTGTAATAAAGTCTTTACGTGCATTTTATGTAAGGATAAATATGCAAAGAATCATGTTTTGTTAGAAATCGTCCGCGAAGCATAATGGCCGACATTCATACATCTGTTGTCAACACAAAATGAGATTATGCAAGTTAGAGTGGGATGTGAACGAGTTTTAGGTAAATAATGTGTTAAACTATATCAGAAATAATTACTAAAGTTGTGTGTGGTTATATTTCGTGTAATAAAGTTGGAATGTGAACGTGATACAACGTTATATTGAAAGGTGAGCTGGACAGACAGTGACTTTGTACTGCAGGGGTGTCTAGGGACGGAGTGTACTATCACATTGTATTACAACTCACAATTATATTTCTATGGAAATATTACTGAAAGAAATATCGCAATAAATATATCTAAATGTACCTATTATGTTTAAAATTCAATAACAGTATAGATTTTAATTACTAGGTATTATTGCTATAATTGGGGAGATAGAGTTCAGTAATTAATTGGGCTTTTCGGATCGGATAAAATTTTGTGACCCGTTTATATGTTTACTATTCATTCTTTCTTAATTACAAAGTTTGTATATTTTAAAAATATAATAGGGTTGACTGGTAGAGAATGCCACAAGGCATTAAGTCCGCCCTTTATATCCCTTATTATAAGGTAGATGTAAAAAAAGATTAAATAAATAAATAAAGTTAATTATCAAGGTCTACGTGGCGTTAAGCTACTTTATATATATAATTTTCATACACAAAGACCGTAATAACGGTACCGATGCGATACGCACAAAATATATTAAACAAAAAGTATTATTTTGTAGTATCATAATACCTCAAAATGTAAAAAGTAATTAAAAATATTCAAGAAATAACTCATCACAAACTTCAAGGTGAAATTTAAGAACGTCCACGGCCAAAACAAGTTAATTAATTATGAGTAAATTTAAATGTATCTATCTATAATACAAAATGTTTAATTTAAACACTGTAATGGATAAAACACGACGTAATTAAACCTTATTAATTAATATAGGAATTAGGACACGATTAAACTTCGAATATATATTTAGGTACCTACCCAACTTTAGATTTATACTAGATTAAAGCGTGCATTATTAATGAAAAATATTACATTTCGCAACAGAGGAATACATAATTTATTAAATATAAAACCTAATTATGAAATGAAACTAAAATTTCGTTTGGCACAGTGAAATGGAATCAGAGGAGAACTAACCGCGAAAGTAACTCTATCCTCTCTTTTGTCATTTTTTAAAAGCCAATAATATAATATTCCTAATCAAAAATTGAAAAGGTGATCAAATCATTTTCAAACAAAACAAAACAAAAAAAAATGAAGAGTATCTGGTAAATGAATTGCAGACCATATGTGTGGTGAGTGTATGTGGCAAACATCGCCCTCCGATATTATAATAGTTATAATACACGTGCACATATATAAAAGTTTAACCAATATAACTGATTAAATTACTTTTTGATCTTATCAAATATGGCAAACAACAAAGGTTATAATAATTAAGCATGTAATCAATAACTACAACTAAAATTAATTACCGTATATTGAAAGGTGAACAACAGATTGTATACAGCAATTTTAGTCGCCTCTTTATTGTACACCATTTATATTAGAACAAAACAAGAAAAAAATAAAATATATAAGGAAGGTACAATAGGCTGTCTTATCGCACTAAAAGCTATTTGTGGAACAAACAACTTATTTAATTTTATTAATCAATTACTAAGTGTTTATAGAAATATGGAAATATAAGTCTGACACAGCCATAAAAATTTTAATATATATTTCTTGCCTGAATTGGCATAATATGTTATTCATTTCGGGATATGACAATTTTTTTCCTAACCGTATATTTTAAAGATTTGTGCGACACACAAATAACGGCACATCTTTCTTAATGACCCAAATCTCAAAGACTTAATGAGCACAATCACCACCCAGCAAACGCACCAGCATTAAGTGATGCATACACTTATTAGCTTATTACATCTAAGAAAGGCCTATATCCTATGTAGCAGTGCATTGCAATGCAAAATCAAGCCCTTTTAGTTCTAATGGCAGATTTTATAGAACGCAATGAGCTATTGTTAACATCCTTATATATTCTATAATATATTGCGTCACTTGCCACCCTTAATCCCCTCATTCTATAAAAACTATGGGCCATAGCAACTCCTTACCATCGGGTGGACTGTGTGCTCGCTTGTCACCCTTATCCTATAAATAAAGAAAACGTTACGATCAACACATAAACATATTATTGTTTCATAGAGAGAGATATAAGACGAAGAGAAAAAACTACAAAAGAATTAAGAATAACAATTTTAAATAATAAATAGGAACAGGTTTTTGCGAATACATATAGATTTGTCTTCATTTGTTGTTGTGACTAACTGCAAAACTTCCCCATATATTTTAGATATTAATCTTTTATGCGTATTTTCTTTAGTGCCAATTTATTGTTATATGTTTAACACGTATTTATTATATGTATGTATATTTTTTTTAATATAGAATAAGGGTAACAAACGAGCACACGGTCTACTCGATGGTAAAAGAAAGCTGTGGCCCATAGACATCTACATCCATCCTCGATTAAGAATCAAAATGCAGATGCGTTGTCACCTCTGACAACTAAGATAGAATTCCTCGTTTCCAGTAAAAAGGGTCTCCAGTTCTCAACACTCATACGAAACACGCAGAATTAAGATGCTATTTTACGCTGGTATTCTGTGAGAGTGTGGTTATTGCGAGGTCGAGCTAACCCATTCATGCTAAACCACGTAAAAATATTATAATAATAATTTAAATATAGCAATATCTTTTGTTCCAGTCAATAAGACTATGAGGGTTGTAAAATAATGCGGTGGCTGCACAAAATATTGACGCTGGCAATAATTTGCGCAGCTGTGGGCGAGGAGTGCCCCTCCTTCTGCAACTGCTCCAGGACTCTACTATCCTGCTCCAGCGTAGCAGTTCCCGGTAACAATCTCACCAGAATCACTCTAGCCAGCCACGGCACGGACCTCCAGACCATAATCTGGACAGACTCAACAGTTCAAGCAATAGACCAGGATCTATTTCTAGGCCTATACAACTTAGAGTACATCGATTTGAGCAGAAACGAAATCAAAAGGACAGAACATGATCTGTTTGCAAGACTGACCCATTTAAAGCATCTGAATCTTTCAAGAAACAAAATCGAAGACATACCCCGCTTCACTTTCGCTTATCTAGATAATCTGGAAGTTTTGGATGTGTCTCACAACGAACTCCACGTAATACCATTCCAGGTCTTCGGGCCACTGACTAGGTTAAAATATTTGGATATATCGCATAATAAAATAGCAACTTTCTTAGATTATTTTTTTAAGCCTAATCGCCAACTGAAACAACTGTTCCTAAATAATAATAGCATAGTCGAAATAACTTCTAAAGCTCTAGTCAACTTGAGGGAATTGGAGATTCTCGATCTATCCGGTAACAAATTAGATTATTTACCTAAGTCTATTTTTGATAGTTTTGATGAACTAACCGATCTGAATCTTAGCTACAATAACTACCAAAACATATCACATGATGCTTTTAAGAATTTAAATAAGTTGAAGTGGCTGAATTTGGGCGGAACTAGGCTTAAAATGTTGCCGGCGGCGCTCTTCCAACATAATGAAAATTTGCAAACGTTCTACCTCGACAACACTCAAGTGACCGTTATACAAAATACGAATTTTAAGGGTTTGATTAATTTACAGCGACTTTTTATTAGAAACAATTCTTTTTTAAGAGAAATCGAAACGTTCGTTTTCGATGATACACCATCAATAACCCATTTGGATATAAGTGGCAACGACTTGACGTTTTTACCTCTAACATTAGAGAAGTTAGATAAATTACAATCTCTAAGTATGAGCAGAAATCCGTGGGCTTGCGACTGTCGTATGGCATGGTTTGCTGCCTGGGCCGACAAGAGGAAAGAAATCATCAAATCCGACCTAAGCTGCAGGCGAGCATACCCCGATGACATGTTAAGAACGCTAAACCACACTAACTGCAAACCGCCACTATTGATCATGAGTAGCCCACTGACTTTATATAGATTGCAGACAGACGCGTTACTCGAATGTAGATTCGATGGTAACCCCGCCCCATCGATCACTTGGATTACACCAACCAGGGACGTCTATCATTGGAATCCGAACCCGCTCATTCCGGACATATTTCACAAACATGGAGTTGCCCATGATAAGTACTACCGGCCCATAGACAACGGAAAATCACGAGTGAGGGTGCTGGAAGATGGCACATTATTTATTGGCAATATACACAGAGAAGATACTGGAACCTATCTGTGCTACGCCACAAACCCTTCGGCAAATTTGACCGCCGAAGTTACTTTGAACATCGATCCAATGACCATGTTTGAAATAAAGATGTACAGCTTGCTCTGTGGAGCGCTATGTGCAGCAGCATTCTTGGGGCTAACACTTATGATTCAATTTATACGTTACATATTCATCAAGTTAGTATTATTATTGCATAAAGTTTGGAATACAATATGAGCATGTAAAGAATTTTTTACTGATTTCAGATTTCGGCTACTAGAAACATGTTGTAGTTGCTGTGCATGTGTGAGTCGCGACGCGCCACGTACACGTCAAATATACAACATGTTAGACAACATTGAACAGTATAAGAGACTGCAATTGGAAAAATTAAGAGAAAACTACGCTGTCCAAGTAAATATATTTTTATATATCGTATAAAACATTAATTACATATATTATATAAAAATAATAAAATGCTTATAGGTTCATCGGATTAAAGATAACTGTACGCAGCAAATGGAATGGATACAAAGCAGTTATTCAACGCAAGCCACACATCTACGCAACTTCAGAGACATCGGCTCCAACCATTTGACTGCAATGAGGGACCAGTATTATGATCAGGTAATAAAATTTGCAATGTTTCCATTTATTTGTGATTAAGCCACACTGTGTGCAAGTATGTATTTTTTGAATTTATAAAAGTTATGTAAGATATTTGTAAAATGAAATTGGTTTATGCAAGTGTTTTTACACGTTAGGCACTCCTAGACTTTCGATTATAACATCTAACACGCAAATAAGGCGATAATCTAAAGCTCTAATCTAAATCTCATAGCTTCCGATAAATGGTATAACTAACTATAAATGTAAAATACTCAGATTGACGCTGGGGAATAGTGTCAAAGATGCAAGACGTCGCCAATCCGCCACGCCTACCATATGTGGCGATTGAGTTTAAACCTCCCTTTAACGGTAGAGAAGAGGCCAATATCTAGCAGTGGACTTTTACGAGCTCATAATAAACGAGAAGAAAATAAATTAATTGTTCCAATGGCATAAAAAAATACGCCGTATTTAAATGCAATTTTATGCAAACATGCAAAATACTTAATTGCCTCAATTATTATCCGTATTGCCATTTCACCGCTAATTAAACGTAAAAGCAAATTAATTTACTATCAATTTATCCACACAGGTGAAACGCGTTCGAGAGTATTCCACGTCGCAGCTTAATTGGGTCCGGGAGAACTACGTTTTCCAAAGGAACAAGATCCGAAAGTTCAGCGCTCACCAAATACTGAGACTGCGCGAATCTTACAAATATCAGCAGCAGACATTAAACAAGGTGTTGGAAAATTTGCCCAGCTTATACTTTGAGAACTGTCGGAGCGGATCCTGTGGACACAGTGATTCTATGCCTTTTGATCCTGACGTAGAAATTATCGACATGTATCTTAAGACAAAGATAGAGAAGTTGGCTCATCTTCCCAGTCCGATACCGGACGACGAAAGCAAAGCGTCCGTTTACTACACGCCGACCGAAAGATCTGTGAATTCGAGAAGAAATTCGCCAGTTACGATTCCAGACGACATTCACATAAATATAATTGAACGGGGTCCTCCTAGGTTGATGGCAAAGATAAAACCGTTACAGCCGGTTCCGCCACCGACTCTGGAATCTTCTTCACCGCCCTCGACTTCCAAATCGGGCTTACAAATGGGACAAGTGAAATACAAGCGTGACCGGACTGAATTCAAACCGTTCAGCGAGCCGCTACTGGGTAGAGAGCGTGAGAGATGTCAATTAGCCATCAGCGCGAGTTCACCGGAACTGAGACAAGTGCAAGTGGAGTGTGAAGTAGAACTGGAACCAAAGAGCGATGTGAAGCGAGAAAATAAAGGCGACGCGGGTAAAGGGAAAGAGACGCGCGTACTGCTAGCGGTGGAGTTGGCGCAACCAGAGTGCCAAATAAAGCATGCGGCCGGTCAGCTTGTGTGTGGCGAGTGCGCGAAGCTATGCGAAAACACTCCCTTGTAGTACAGGCTTCTCACGCGCGTGTTTAAGATCTACGCCGTGTCCGGTCAGACGTTGGCCGTCCAAAAGCCTACCGATATCCCGCTCTGTGATTTCAGCGGCCCATCGCCGTCCTATGTATGATTCTCAGTGCGCGATACGTGTCTTGCCCGTTGTCCCCTGGTGAAGATAGAATTATGTTATCCCAAGTGTGTAGTTGTGAGTTCGCGGAACGTATCTTGCCCGGTTGAGGTCTCAGCAGTGATGGGGTCTCGGGTCTTCAGACACCACTTATAAGTAAGCTGTGATAGACTAGATATGAACGCACGCGCTGGCGTACGTAAAGCAACACCTCCTAGAGGTAGGTTAAGGATATTGAATCTGCTGCCAACCTTAGTGGCGAAATCGTAACGGTTTTCTATTTAAGCGTTCTATGGGTATCGAATCAAATGTGTAAATATGTATATTTGTTTCGATTAATTTTCATTTTGATGTATTTTTAGAAAATGAAAATCTTATAGTATTATGCATTTTATATTTGTTCAGACTTAAAGCGTAGTTAAAGGAGGTATAAGGAAATTGTTACTGTCTTTGTTGTAATTGTTGCGAGGTTAGTGTAAATTGGTGTATCCTTATAAGCTGCGATCTCTAATGTTGGCTGTCTTTCATTTAACCAAAATCTTGTATACAGAGTCTGATATAGTATTTTTTTTTTTATAAAAAAAGAACATTTTAGGTTTATCAATACACATTCAATAATTTAAAACAAGTTAACGGTTATTATTTACGGTGATATGCCAAAATACTACAATCCAGCAATGATGTTATTTTAATTAACGTTTCTTAATATGAAATAAACATTGTTGATAAATTTCTAAATATTATAAACAAGAGTAAATATTAAATCATGGAGACTAAATTATTTTTCAATGTAATCTTTCTAGTTTTATTTGCGTTCCGTGCGAGAACTAAAGAGGCGAGTCGTTATCTTGTCAACAAAAATGTCATTTAGCCGATTATGGTAATTGCCGACTATTCGTATTAATCAGCTTTATTTACACGTATCATGTGATACAATCAAAATGTCTCTAGCCTTCCATTGTTACGGAAAATATTCCATTGTTACGTTGACATTATCCACTAATCATGTTTCTTAACTATTCAGATACTCATTGAAATGTAAATGACATTTCATAACCTCAAACTTTGTTCAAATTTTATACACAATGTAACTAAAATGTTTCCAAAAGTTTGTACAAATGGTCAAAAGTATACAAATAAAACAATGACTTAAATGAAATAATTTATTTGCAAGACTTATACGGCACATAACATCAATCTAATACGCAATAAACTACCAATAAACAACGATTGAAGTTTCTAGACTATTAAAACACTGACAGGATCATTTCGTACAGCAAATATCTCGTCCGGTACCAATACATAGCTGAAAGTTCTAGAAAGCCATCCTAAGCTTTACAAAATTGTAACAAATCACCATATATCCCAAACGAAGTGCCTGTTGACTGACTCAATGAATTACAACGAATAAACACCGTTGATATACACACTTAGTCTCTTTTTATATCATATAAAACAATATAACAATCTAATTCCAAATAGAAAACCGTCCATAGGCATCTAACAAGGAAAATAGTTTATTTTCTGATATTTAAATAAGTATGGTATAAATTCAGACAATTTCTTAGTACAAAATATTTTCAAAGTCCTTTTCATTTTATATTAAAATAAAATAATTTAATTTTCATTTTTGTAGTAAACATAATTAAGACAAGTAGTTTTTAAGACTAAGGCTCTAAGCCAATGACATTAATTACATGATTGTTAAAAATATTTTAATACCTTTTAATATATCTAAACCTAATGTTATTATATCGTAATATTTAACTTAGAAAATCAATTTTCCTCAAGAAAACCTAAATCATAATTAAAAGTATCTATGGAGCAAAATATTATATTCTTCCACTAAAATTAAACTAAAGTACTCTAGCATTTAGTTCAGTACGTTAAAATATTAAATTAAACTAATTTTTACGGATTCTATCGCGTTTAATTTATCTTTTTGATTCCCGACGTTTCGGGTGCTTTACAGCACCCATGCTCACTCATAGGGGGGAATAAGGTGTTTGACGTCCCGATGGGCTACCTTCAGTTTTTGAATATTAATTCTTGGTCCGATCTACGCAGAATGAGCTTATAGTATCTTTAAGTCTTGCAGTGGTATGCTTGGGTTTGGATTTAATTTTATTAATTATAGGATCCCAAGCAGATGGCAGCACCCATCCACCTTCTCTATTGAAATCAGGATGTTTTATTTTTTAATTTCAATAGCCTCGCGAATCATCCTTGGTAGGAATCGGTGTTCTTTTGCGAGGATTTGTGGTCTATCAAATCTAATATTAAAAAGATAAATAAAACGCGAGATATAATCCGTAAAAATTAGTTTAATTTAATGTGTAGTGTTTGCGTAAATATAAGAAATCATTACGTTAAAATAATTTATTCAGTACTAGGTTTAGGATAAATTAACTACTAAAAAAAAGTATAAAATCTCCTAAAATATATAATTTTAATCAAGCAACTTGATTAATGTGCACTGTGCGTAAACACTTAAGGTTTTTAAATAAAAACATTAATGTTTTAAACAAATTTCATCATTCATCAATATTATGAATTATGAGAATATGACATAATGTTAATATTCCAGATAACTTGAGAAGTTATAAAGGTAGTATAAGTATTAGAACCAGCGTATAACGCCTAAATAAAAACGGCATTATAAAAATTAATACACTGCCTAAAATATTAGTATAATTTTTAATTAATAAAATTTAATAGTCATCTTCATTCCGACTGGCAAGAGTTACATGCTAAGGTAAAATAAAATTTCACCTATCATCACTAACACGCCCTATTATAAATATCTTTCAAATACACGGGTTACTAAATGATTTAGGGAGTTAACACTGCATACATTTTAGTGCTTTAATAAAAATTGAAAGAAAAAAACAAAAAAAAATAATACTATGGAAAAGTAAGTAAGAAAATTCAAGTGTATCGCGCGTCTAAGTTTATGGTTCGACGCAAAAATAATTAACGCGTTGTAAGTATCGCCAGTGGCCTATCAACAATAATATTTTTTTCATCTATACAAATAAATAAAATTGAAGTGTCTGTTTGTAACGTCAAAATAACAGCTTTTCACTAAATGCATATGAAAGTATATATGGTACTAATAACAAAAACACAATTTTTAAAAAAATCTGTCTGTCTGTTTGTTCCGGTTAATCTCTGAAACGGTTGGACCGATTTTGATGAGCTTTCACTGACAGACATCTGATGTTATAAGGAGTAAGTAAGGCTAATTTTGTTTTGGAAAAAGAATTAGGGTTCCGCGCAAAAAATTAAAAACCTAAATTACACGCGGGCGAAGTCGCGGGGAATAGCTAGTAATGTAATAAACTAGGTGGTAATAACGCCCTTAAATGTATTCCTGTCGCCAATCAGCAGTGCACCCACTGTGTTTCATTCTTCGTCCTCATGAGTAAACCGCACATGAAGGTTACATCATTTTCTTGGAACTGGCTGACATATACCATCGGGTGGTTTAAGAACTTGTTTAAATTAATAAAAAATGTAGATATTATTAACATACTTTTCGGATATTAGGAAGAACTATCGTTATATTAGTGTCCATCATGAGACAGTAGTTTAAAAGAATCGAGCGCTACGTTTTATTTCGTACAAATCTAATGTCAGACTCCTATATTCAAGAAACGTTTCGTTCTCCGCAATCATCCGTTTTATTACATACGAGGTGCAAGAAAAACTGTTTATATTACAAACTATTCTTTCAGCATTCAACAACCTACGAGTAGAATGACTTGCAATGAAAAAACTTTAAACGGTTAATAATTAGTTGGGACTGGTATTTTGCTTTAAATAAGGTGCACTTCAGTAACAGCAAAACGGCTCGTAAAATAAAACGTAGCGTTTTTAAATACAGAAACCTATAAAAGTATAGAAACGTAACGTAATAGGAGAACTATATGAAACATCTTACGGTTAGTAACGCGAAACTGTTACTTCGACAGCCATTCCAACTGCCATGCGTGGCGACTATGGCGATTCCTCAGACTTGATATAGGCCTATACCCGGTTGCTTACGATCTAATTAAAGTTGCGATGTTAATGATAAAATATCTGCACATAAAGCTATTAAATAATAATTATTAATATAATAACAATTAACATGAACATCTTTGACCGAATTCACAATATATATGTATATTATATATTTTTATTTTTACTTTTCTCCTCATCAACCAAATAACATATTATGAAGGTTTTAATAATAAATAATAGCTAAAGATACTTCAATTTGGAACCAAGGCTTTAATTACTTATATACTTACGGTTATTTGAAAATGAGTGCAGGCAAATTTAAACAATCAACATAGATTGTCATGTTAAATTTTACATCACCCTGCAAAAGTCCAAAGCGGAGGGTAGGCCTATATCAAATAAAAACTATTTTTTTTTTTAAGTTTTTAAATGTGTATTATATTGCAGAATCAATATTTCAATTTTTACTTACTTCACACTTTTCAGCAGTAAAATCAATCTTAGTCTTAATACAGACTAGATACGGCAGGCTACACAGGTGCTACTGAGAGCGCTGTTCTTATTTTAAATTGACAATGACAATAACTTTCCGTTTCAATTCATAACACTTTTGACTTGTTGCTTTCCTCTCATAATTATCACAAAGTTAACTCTCTTTAAAATTGATATTCCAATCGGTCTCAATACAAACTCCGGTTTATTGATAGTCTTTAGAGAGAATTTATTTACAGAAGGGACTTTGTTACGAAAGAAGATTCTTAGTCGAGCGCCAGTCTTCGCGAATTTTGACATTTGCTGGCAAATTTATAATTTAAAACAGACCAGTTTAAATCTGAGGCTAATTATAAAATACTATTTGTAATAAGACGATATGAAATCTTCTAGTATATAAAAATTATTGCACTGCTTATTGCTTGCACTTGCGTAAAGGTTATATTCATAGCACAATTAACTTAAGTAGGTGGCGCCCGCATCGTACCGACAAATTTATTTGAAATTCTATTCAATTTCAATGAATGTATTATAACTCCTAATTAAACAATATAACGCTTCCAAATTTAAAACGATATCTCCACAAATATTTCCCCCGCGGCAGCAAGGCGCCCGGGTACCAGTAACTTTTATATAAGTTTGCTTAAAATATTTTACGTCATAATATTATGTCTAAATGGATAAATAAATAAATAAATCTACAAATTAATTTACTTAAAATATCAGTCAACGAAATATCACCTATAGATATCCCAACAGTGAATCAAACACCATCACACTTGTTTCACTTTGATCACTTTCATACTCAGACATGTTAGGCCATAACCATTCTCAAACCGAAACTGCTACTTAACAATTAATCAACATTTACATGCATTATTACCGAGCTTTTATCCTCTCCAAGGAACAGTACAAATAAAAAATATATAATAAAAAAAAAAACTTTTTATTTAGGTAATCGTAGTCTCCAGTTATATATGTTCTCCATGGACTAGACAATAACTTTAACACTTTTAAAACGATCCTTGAAGAATTCTTCTAAGCTAACATTACTAATCAGACTCATTTATTCCTAACCATCCTCCACCATTCTGTTATCAAAAAATTATATAAATTTATTTAATGTGCCACAATAGAATAACCAATGATTTTTAGCTATATTGATTGTTTTTATATCCATCTTTTAACATTTATAGGTTTAAAGTGAAAGTGTCTACACTTCTACCTCAGACTTATATATTTATATATGAATAAACTATTACTACCTCAAAGCAATAACTTTAGATCATAGTTTCAGTATGTAAAATAACACGCTTTGGCTAACAAAATTGTCGAGATCTGTAAACGTTTTTTATTATTTTTTTATCTTAGTTAATAAAAAACGTTATTTGATAGGTAAAAATCATAATAAAGATATTTTGCCAGTCTTTAGTTATCTGATTCCAGCATGATGCCCCTTTTTTTTTCAAAATTATTTAATTGGAAATGCGAATATAAGCTTACATACATAGGGATAATTATATATTGTACTTATAACATATTAATAATATATTAATTTTCACCGACCGATTAAAATTATACATACAAAAAAATTAAAATTAAATAATTGTAACTCAATACTTAAAATTCAAAAATGACTGTATTCATTCGATAAAAACAGTTAAATAGCTATATTGTCGAATATATATATAGCTTGTAGAATTCTCTAACACCTTTTAATTATGTTAAAGATATCATTTACAACTGTTAACCGTATTATAAGATTCTTCCTTAAAGGTACTAATATACTTTGTTTTAACTTGGGTGTAATTGCAAACGCTTTTTGATGTGATGACTAATACTAACGTTTATTAAGAAAGTAGAATTAACTTTCTAAAAACAAATGCTCTGGTATGACCGGGTTGTTATATCAAAAGCTCTTTCGGAGATCCAAACATTTGAATCAGTTACGAAGATCTACACTGTGCTAGGTAGAACTCCCAAATATTGATGACGACAAAATAGAAGCTGTAAGACAGTGTCACAAACTTTATAAAATGGACAGCTCAATTCACTAATCGAGGAAACCTATCTTACTGCATTATCAAAGGGGTTGATTTTAACACAAGTGAAGAGGAGTTACTGAAGAATCTTTACTCATCCTGTGACATAATGTTGGCAGGTAACAGGTTTGACGTGTAGTATTGCAGTTAACACAGGGCTTTGTATTTCAAAAGTAGAGGCGAAACACTACATGGCACGCGACAATGGTGTCTTTCCAAGTGTAGTGGTGTTGGTGTTATAGAATAATGTCCATGGAACTAAAAGTTCTGTAACAGTGTACAATAGTGAATTTAGCAGCTAGAATCAATCCGAACTATTCCTCGGAACCCTACCCATGGTGTATGCTATAGCTTTTTTTCATAGAATAATGGTGACAAACGAGCACACAGTACACTAGATGGTAAATAAATATTGTGACCTATAGACATCTACATTTATCCTGTATTAAGAATCAATATACAAATGCGTTGTCACCCCTAAGGAATAAGATGGAATGCCTCGTATTCAGTAAAAAGGGTCTCCGGTTCTCTACCATTTTACGCTGGTATTCTGTGTCCTTTCCTGGTCAAGCTGACCCATTCGTGCTACAACCATAATATAGCTGCAGCGTGGCTCAACTACGTACATGAACGCATAGAGATACGTCTCTGTGGACTAATCCGATCGTAAAGAACTTGGTCGTCGGCGATACGAACCACTCTCCATTAAATGTTTTTTTTTTATAGGATAGGGTGACAAACGAGCACACAGTCCACCTGATTGTAAGTGGTTGCTGTGGCTCATAGATAAGCTATATTAGCAGTATACATAGTTGTAGCATGAATGGGTCGGCTCGACCGGGGAGAACCACGCTCTCACATAATACCAACGTAAAATAGCAGCTTAACACTGCTGTTTCGTATGGTGAGTGTAGAGAACCGGAGACCCTTTTTCCACTGGAAAAGAGGCATTCCGTCTTTCCTCACGTGTGACAACGCATCCGCATTTTGATTCTTTATTGAGATTAGATGTCGATGTCTATGGATCACAGCAACCATTTACCATTAGGTGAACTGTGTGCTCGTTTGTCACCCTATCCTATAAAAAAAATGTATAAGAAGTGGAACACATTTGTATCTAGTACACATCTCTAATCTAATATATAAAAATTAATTTTTGTTTGTTCGTATTTTGTGCGCTGCCATAACGTTCATCAGACTGCCGTAAGACTTTGTCAACTTATTGCTTGCCCTTGCGCGTAGGTTTTAGGCATAGTACAATTAAATTGCAATAGGTGGCGCGCGTATCGCATCGACAATTTTATTTCAAAGTTACATATCATTCAATTTCATTGAATATATTATCATTCAAAACAATATTACCACCATTATTTTTTCTGCGGCAACACGCCGAGGGTACCAGCCAGTACATACATAAACTCTAACACTAACATATAAAATCATACATAGTGTATGATAAAATGTACAATATCACCCAGAGGGATACGCAGAAACCATTGCAGTCATGAACCAAACCACTTACATTTGTCACGATTCTGACACACCTCTCACTTCCTCAACGTCTATATACCTACGTATATGCTCGTCAGTTAAGAGTACTCTTACTTCTTGGTTCATCTTTCGATCAATAAAGCGGTCGATATATCCTCAGCAGGTTTTCGACAGGTCACTCACTTCTGATGTATAAATTTACTTTGTCGGTCTTTCCTTTTCATCTAGTGTCCAAATCACCGAAGCATTTCTTACTTTACACTGGTCATCATCAACATCGTCTTGCATATCAAACGTTTATCTCACAATCTCACACCCTATCATTCAGTAACGCCAAACATACCTAGTTCTAAGTGAAAATAAAACACCTAGATCTAAATGTGGTCAAACATTGGCTTATAATAAGTAAAAAAAATTAATTCACTCACGAATATAAACATCTCTTTTTATTCTAGCAATTGACATGGTAATCCCGGAATTACGTTTACCATCACCTGGGTTATTTGTTGAACTATCAATTATAAACTTTAACATTATTCTGGGACTAATTAAAATAAGATATAATTAAATAACTAAAATTGTTTCTAGGTTTGTGAGAAACTACTGCCAAGGCAGTTTATACAATAATTAAAAATAAAATTTTAAGAATTACATTAAACAAATATCATACTACGATACTTTTAATTAAAGATTAAATTATTATTTTAAAAAAAACGTAAAGTTTAAATATGTAGGTACCTTTATGGAAATTCTAATAATTGAAATAAATGGAATTTTACAAAAATGCAAAGTAACGTAATTTACTATGACTGGAGGAGAGTGGATTGTAACCATAACAAACTTCCTTTATAACTATCCACTAAATTTCAAGAAGCAGATGATAAATAATTAACCTTATGTGTTATAATTTCTTTTGTAGTTTACAATTAATTATCGAATAAGCAAGTAATATTTTCCACGTACATTTAGCACTGAAACTGAAACTAACACAATTCCTATGAATATAGTAATTTTATAGACATATAATCGTTCTTATTGCAAAACGTGGCTCACTCATAGTCTCGGGCTTAAAGAATAGTATTTGTCAACCTAATGGCACGTTTAGATCATGGGCATGAGCAGCTCGCCGAGTTACGTGGATCTTTTAAACATAGATGACGTGCGTCTCGTTGCCACGACTTTATGTCTACTTGATATTTATAGCCTCACAAATATTTATTTGGCGGGTGGTGAGTGGAGGCCCCCCCCCCTTCCCCCACCCCCACTAGATGGAGCGATGACCTGGTAAGACATGCAGGAAGTCGATAGATGCAGGTGGCTTAGGAACGCGGTTTGTAGCATTCCTTGGGGGAGGCCTATGTTCAGCAATGGACTTGTGAAGAGCTGTAATGAATGATGATGATTAATGATGAAATATTTATTTTCATTAATAATTTCTAGGACCCCACCCCCCAATATCACGGGTCCTCCTTGATAAAGTGACATATGTGGTGGTAGGTATTTTTAATTATTTTTTTTTTACTTAGTTTATAAGAAAAATAAAGTTTAAAAGTTCACGAGTCAGTTAAATTATGACGAGTATGTAAACATCGTTACGAATATACACGAGCATTCCTTTTATTCGTGTCAAAAATCCGACATCGAGTGGAGAACGTCATATTATCCAAACGCTAGTCTTATTGAAATTTTACATTTGCTGTATAAACTACTTCTTGTAAAAAGACAGATTATGTTCATTTTATAACCTTTCACAAATATTAAAATTCAAAAATATATCATACGGAATCATACAAAATGCTAAAATGCCTAAGCATGCTGACTATTCTTTACCAAAACTGAATATCCAGTCGTCTCATCCAAATCCCTAAAATATAACAAGTCCCTGCAAAAACATCGGAATCAAAAAGCCCATAAAAACTGACTTACCTTAGCACCAGTGCGGTTCCACACGAGCACCTTGTGTCCAGAGTTGAGCAAGTTCTTCACAATACCACTACCCATGATGCCTAGCCCGAGGAAACCAAACTTCATCTGGCTGGCCTTGATGTTCTTCTCCAGCAGCGTCTCTGATACATTCTCCAGATCTAGTGGGGGTGTGTCCTGAAATATTGGAGTAAGATGACGAAATTTTCTTTCATAACTTTAAATTCTGGACATGGCCCTGTCCTGTTGCAGAGAGCATTTGTCTTAGGACACGCTTGTTAAGCAAATTAAAAGTACGTGTAGCACGAATGGGTCAGCTCGACCAGAGAAGGACGACGCTTTCACAGAATACAAGCGTATAATAGCAGCTCAATGCTGCTGTTTTGTATGGTAAGTGTACCTGTAGGAACCGGAGATCCTTTTTACTGAAAACAAAGCATTCAATCTTAGTCTTCAGAGGTGACAAGTGACAACGCATCTGCATTTTGATTCGTAATCGGTGATAGTTGTAGTTGTCTATGAACCACAGCATCCACTTACTATCAATGGACTATGTACTTATTCGTCACTCTTATGCTATAAAAAAGATGTCTTGAAAAGTTAACGCTTCTGCCCATTTTTTTGGCGTGAAGAGGTAGTTACACCGCCATCTATCGAAACCCATAAGATATTTTTGGCTTATCCCATAGTAATCTCTTACGACACTCACCACCAGGACCAAACAGGTATGACAAATTCTCTTTCTATAGTAAAAAAGAAAGATTCTCGAGTAGCGGCCTCGCATCGGTAAGTGAAGTGTAGACCTGTTCCCCACTAGATGGAGTGACTAAGTAAGGGATGCAGGAAATCGATGGATGCACGTGACAGGATCGTGATTTGTGGAATTTCGGATGATCGTGATTTTGGATTTCTTAGGGAAGGCCTATGTCCAGCAGAAGACTTGTAATGGACTGTAATGATGATGATTATGATGATTCTAGTAAGTGAAAATTGCATTGTTTTTCTTATTTCTTACAAACCGGTTTTATTCCCCTGAACATGGACCTCCCCTATTGATTGCCACAAAACATAGCATGGTCTTGACATAGGAAAATTCTAGTGGGGGGAGGGGGGGTAAGTTTAAAAATAGAAATACTAGATATTAAATAGAGTAGGGAAAGGGGGAGGGGGGTTAATATAAATAACATTCAATAGATGAATTGGTTCCCTAGAGTCAAGAAGGAAAGGAATTAGCCCAAGCTGAAGTGTACAATTTGAACTCGACAATTTGAACTCCATGCTTGAGTCAATACCATCTCACTTCCAGAAATTATTAATTTTTGTTATTATATATACTTAACGTGTGTTTTTGGATTTTATTTGTAAGTAGTAATAAAAATAAATTATGTCAGAATGGTAATAGAAACTTTCTTATTAAAATAGAATAGAATGATTTTTATTCAATATTGATTATTACATAATACTTATTGAGTCATTTTTTATTTACCACTGGTTCGGAAAATACCTCTGTCCTGGGAAGAACCAGCAAGAAACCCAGCGGGACTTTTTTTTTTCAAACATAATTTAACTTTTTTTTATACAATTTTAAATGAATTTTCATAGACCAGCATGGTGGCGATCACCTTATTCCCAGGGGTTATTTTCATTCGTGTATTCTTTGATATTATAATAAACCTTTTTGTACAGTTTTTCTTTAATAAAACTTTTAAACTTGTTTATTGACAAACTTTGAACATGTTCTGGGATTTTGTTGTAATAGCGTATACATTGCCCCATAAATGAATTACTAATTCTGTGGAATCTAGTAACTGGCATTACAAGCTTATGTTTGTTCCTAGTGTTTAAGGTATGAACATCCTTATTCTTCTTAAAGCTTGTTTTTATGTACATACATTACATTTTCATAAATATATTGCGATGCCAAAGTTAATATGTTTATTTCTTTAATTTTTCTCTGAGGAATTCTTTACAATATAGGTTATAAATCGCCCGTACGGCTCTCTTTTGCAAATCAAATATAGCTCAGTCTCATTACCCCATAGCAAAATTCCATAAGACATTACGCTATAAAAGTAACTAAAATACACTAATCTAGCTGTCTCAACATCTGTGAGACTTCTAATCTTTCTTACTGCATATGCTACAGAACTAAGTCTACTTGCTAATTTAGATGTATGGGGGCCCCCTTGAAGTTTCGCGTCAATAGTAATACCAAGAAAAACAGTGGTATCCACAAGACTCAACTCCTCCCCATTTAAGAACACATTGGTTTTCGAATGTTTTACATTTGTAATATTGTAAATTTAATACAGTTTGTCTTAATAAATAAATTCTAAATTCTTATATATTATAAATAACACTTATTGAAAGTCACTCTTATGTTTAATTTACCACTGGTTCGGAAAATACCTCTGTCTTGGGAAGAACCAGCAAGATATTTTTTCATTTAGAAAAAAAAAAAGTTACAATCATTAAAGTTACACAATAATTAACAATTAACAATAATCAACTTACAATTAAAAATTTTAAAATAAAGTATTTTAATTATATATATATACACTAGCTGGCCAGGCAGACGTTGTTCTGCCCTTTTCGGCGACCCTTCTTATGAAAAGATCCTTAAATTCGCAATAAAAAAATATTGAAGGCCACTTATCGGGATTGGACCAAACTGCACACAGTGTACAAATTTTTATTGAAATCAGTTCCTTCGCATTCCCAACACTCGTTATGTTCAACTGAACTGTACTGCAATCCGTGTGCAAGTGTCGCTTCGATATTCATGCAGTGCGAAGCGGCGCTTATATTACGATAATTCAAATCAAAATTCGAACCTGCACGTAAATAACAATTCAGTAGTCAAGTAAGTAAAATTATTGTTGTTCAAGTAAATAAATAGGCAACAATACCGTAATACCACAATAGAAAAATATTTCTTTACTTAAGTACCACGTAATCTACAATCATAGACTAAAACATGCAGGTATAATCTATGATGACAAAAAACTAATTACGCAAGCGCAACGTGCCCTTATATCAACTGCGTGTGCGCGACTTTAAACTGAACGCACATTCGTCCGCACCGTACGCGCCGAGTTTTACTGATGGCCTCGCACATTTGCACGTACGCAACGTCCGCGCCGTACGCACATCTTTTGTATTACCAACACCTTTTGTAGTTTTTTCCAACCACTGGTGAAACGGTACAGAGAAATCGATCGCTCGAAATCACTATGGAAAGAAATATAGTAATAGCCTGCTTATCGGCAGAGGAAGAAGAAAGTAAAATTCGAAGAAAAAGAAGATTCTGGATTCATAATATTGATTTAAAAAGGCAATTGTATGAAGAGGACTTTATTTAAATACTTATTAGATGATGCTGAACGATTTTTTAGATATATAGTTACATTTAACACACAATAAATTTCAAAAATTGTTTCTGTTTTTTATTTGTTAAATTCACACTAAAACCATATCTATCTATTGAAAACTCAAGATTTAGAAGGCCCATTGAACCAGAGAAAAAACTAGTTGTATGTTTGAGGTAAGTATTTTTATTGATAATTAAGTAATCAGATATAATTGGGTCTTTGAATTAAATTTAACTATTATTTTAGTTCAATATTTAAATAATTTATCACTAAGTATTCATATTGATAGTCGATGCAAAAAAAAAATCAAATTATGTATAATTAATAACGAATTAATTAAAAGTTATAAAAATACAAAAATTATCACGTATAACCTGTCGGAAATATCTGCGAACCTCGCTGGAATGCGCTTCCCCTCGCGCTTCCCCGCACCTCCGCCCGTTATCGTCTATCCAGTACCGTTGCCATCTCTCCATATTGCATGACGTCATCAAGCCAGGTTCGCAGATATTTCCGCCCGTTATCGTCTATCCAGTACCGTTGCCATCTCTCCATGTTGCATGACGTCATTAAGCCAGGTTCGCAGATATTTCCGACAGGTTATAAGTCGAAACCACACACATTAGACAACACTGAGTATCAACACGCGCCGCGTTATATGACGTCATCAGCATGCGTCCTTCAATATTCGGATACCTACCGCATTTTATAAATGTCGGCGGGTACGGTGCGGAAGTAATGTGCGAGGTTTCATATGATTTCATACAACGGATTCTAAAAGTCAGCGCGTACGGTGCAGGTATAATGTGTGAGGTTTCATATGATTTCATACAACGAATTCTAAAATACGGTGCGGGTGTAATGTGCCAGGTTTCATAAGATTTCATACAACGAATTCTAAAATTCGGCGCGTACGGTGCGGGTGTAATGTACGAGGTTTCATATGATTTCATGCAACGAATTCTAAAAGTCGGCGCGTACGGTGCGGGTGTAATGTGCGAGGTTTCATAAGATTTCATACAACGAATTCTAAAATTCGGCGCGTACGGTGCGGGTGTAATGTACGAGGTTTCATATGATTTCATACAACGAATTCTAAAATTCGGCGCGTACGGTGCGGGTGTAATGTGCGAGGTTTCATATGATTTCATACAACGAATTCTAAAATACGGTGCGGGTGTAATGTGCCAGGTTTCATAAGATTTCATACAACGAATTCTAAAATTCGGCGCGTACGGTGCGGGTGTAATGTACGAGGTTTCATATGATTTCATACAACGAATTCTAAAATTCGGCGCGTACGGTGCGGGTGTAATGTGTGAGGTTTCATATGATTTCATACAACGAATTCTGAAATTCGGCGCGTACGGTGCGGGTGTAATGTACGAGGTTTCATATGATTTCATACAACGAATTCTAAAATTTGGCGGGTACGGTGCGGTTGAAATGTGCGAGGTTTCATATGATTTCATACAACGAATTCTAAAATTCGGCGCGTAATGCGCACACGGCGCGGACATAAATGTGCGTTCAGCTTTACTATCCTCCGCGCACATTTTTTGTTAGGAATAGCTTCTCTAGTACGTAGTAGTTATAACTCAATGATTTTAATATATTAATCAACAATTGAAGTTGGATTATATAAATATGTTTAAGCAGAAATATTCCATGGGCTTAGTTTCAACATTTTCAAAAATGTATTTATAGTTGATAGTTTGGTAGGGCAAAGGATATATATAAGGTTCTTTAATAGTATTACTATAAAATTTTGTCGGAAACGTGAAGCTTACTCTGCTGAAAGCCTTTGGAGATTACCATCGACAACTGGTAACCTGCACATCTGAGTGATAAAATATTTTAGAAGCCCGCTAACACTAACTAAAGCGATGTGACGGAATCATTGTTTCATTACCTTCTCAGAAATGAAGGGAGGGCATGGGCCCTGTAGTGGGACATATTATATAGACAGTAACTATAACTTACTTGTAATGGCGGTGTATGAATATCCACTACCCTTTATCGTCCCGTGGGTGTCGTAAGAGGTGACAGAGGGTAAGTGAAGCAGAAGATGGGCATCAGCATCTTTCTTATAAAAATCAAAATTATAAAAAACTGCGGTTGTCAACCCGCCCGCGAAGCGTGGCAACTATGGCGAAATCCACCCCTGAGAGAGAATCTTTGGGGGAGACCTATGTTCAGCAGTAGACTATTTTTTTTATATTCTACTAAGCCAGCGCTTATCTACGATCCCACCTGATGTTAAGTGGTGATGTCGCCTAAGATGGTGAAGTGCACTGACTTAACAAAAGCCTATTTCACTCTTGCCTTGAAGACACCCACACTGTAATCGGATGAAAAACCAGATGCTGGCAACTTATTCCACTCCTTTGCTGTACGCATGATGAACGACGTGGCGAACCGTTTGGTTGGAATGCATGGTAAGTCAACAACGAAAGGGTGGAGACTGGCTGAACATCTGGTTGTCCGATGGTGGAAGGGAGAGAAATGAATTAAATTATGCAATTTTATAAGCTGTAATGATGATAATGATGATAACTTACAGGTCTCAGTATATTAGAAGGGCGGTGCAGAAGGCTGGACTTCTTGGAGAACGAATGGTTTAGCATAGACGGCTTCTCGTTGGCCATATCGGTGTCGGTGAAGGAACGGGAGATGCTCTTCACCTTCTTCCGAGGGGTTCCCTTCATGCCAGCGGAGGATGAACGTTTGACCGACTTCACCTTTGAAATGCCCAAACGTATCTATAAATGTTGAGAACTGGATGATTAGCAACAAATTAATTTATTTTTAAAAGCAAAGAGCCCAATTGAGTTTGTTAGAAGCTTAGAAGGCATATACATTTCTACGAGCGTCGAATTAGTGTCATCAAAATGTCAAATGATACTCGCATTTAGAAATCCTTCAAACTCTTAAGGCACCGGAGTCACACACACAACTTTCCTAAAAAATAATGATTTCTTATATTTACGCGAAGACTACACATTGTAGGAAACTAAGTTTTTTACGGATTGTATCGCGTTTAATTTAAATTCGCGTTTAATTTAACTTTTAATTTAACGGGGAGGGGGGGGGGTCAGAGATTTTTGACGTCCCGACGTCAGTTTTTTAATATTAATTTTTGGTTCGATCTACACAGAATGAGCTTATAGTATCTTGAAGCGTACGAGCAAGTATTGCTAGACAGCAAGCTTCGGGTCCTGCGCCTACGTCACAGTGACCGAGTGAAGCCGGCCACAGTCAAGCGTGTGCCTGCTGTACTTATGTTAGAGGAGTCACAGACAAGGTTGGCTACATCTTGAAGCGAGCTTCAATTAAAACGTACGTCAAGCCGCCGAAGAAGATTAGTCAATTTTTACCATCCGTCAAGTGTCATATCCCTCTACAAGATGCCGCAGTGTACAAGCTGGATTGTAAACGTGGTCTCTCTTACATAGGACAAACAAAAATATCTATAAAAACACACGTAAAATAACATATAGCTGACTTGAAGCACCGACGTTCTGGGAAGTCTGTAGTTTGTGAACATATTCAAGATCGTCCCCGCCATTACATTAGATATGATGAACCACAAATCCTTGCAAAAGAACACCGATTCCTACCAAGGATGATTCGCGAGGCTATTGAAATTAAGAAACACCCTAATTTCAATAGAGAAGATGGATGGGTGCTGCCATCTGCTTGGGATCCTATAATCAATAAAATTAAATCCAAACCCAAGTATACCACTGCAAGACCACAAGATACTGTAAGCTCATTCTGGGTAGATCGGACCAAAAATTAATATTCAAAAATTGAAGGCAGCCGGGCTAACTATGACGTCGGGACGTCAAACTCCTCAGTCCCAAACGCACACAAAACGTCGAGAATTAAAGTTAAATTAAACGCGATAGAATCCGTTAAAAAAATTTGTTTCATTTACCTAAAAATGTCTAACTCATCAGCATGTCCAATTTAGTCCATGATGTAGAATGTGGATACAGTTGATGGTATTCGTGTTTGTCGATTAAATAAGCATTAAGCTAAGATAAAAATAAGGTTTTATGTACTGGTTGTAGCCGGTTTAATCGTTATGGACGATTAAATACCAAATTTTATGATATTTGCCAAACATCATAATTTTCACGATAGCTAAAAATTCTAATACAAGGCTGCTGCTGCTGCTGCTGAAGAATGTGCCCACAAAGGGACTTTGTGTCCCCCCCCCCCCCCCTCAAGGCATTGCATCGACCTTCCGAACAACCTGTATGTTAATTATATTAAAACTTGTAGCCAATAATGGATTTATTTTCTGAGTTTTGTGTACCTTGGCTGTATTTGTGCAAAGTTAGACTTGCAGCGAATTTCACAGCTCCTATTAAGTATGAATCGAATACTACACACTATTTGAATTTTACATGCAGTTCTTAGCAAAAACTTCGTTCTTTAATATAACGAAATTTCGCAATGTAACGTTTCATTCTATGAATTAAATTCCAACATTTCATCCACTACTGGCTGGACTTCGATAACCAAGAAGTGTTAAAATTTGTCATGAACATGGGCTTCCCCCGTGGTAAGAAAGCTTTGGTTTTTCTTGACCCCCTTACTACAGTCCCCTAACCGTATTTTTGTCTTTATAATAGAAATATATAAATTAAATAAAAGCATCGAGTTTCAATCATCCTAAAATAAAACATATGTATGCGCCAACAATGTTACAGTTGTTATAAAACTATTTAAGCAAAAATAAACTGTGTTACCTTCGGTGTATTAGTTTTCTTTTTGACTTCAGGAGTTGCTTCTGCCGGCTTCTCTTCGGAACTCTCCTCGTTCATCACGTCTTTGAGCTTATCGAACTCCTCCTCGGGATTTCTGGCGTGGTCATCGATATCGCCGAATTTCTGGTTTAATATGGCACAGAAAATAATGATAAATTTAACATCGTTATGGAATACAATTTGTGTATTTTTCGATATAACCCAATATATTCAACTTCATATAATTGATAGATTATATGCTTTACTTTCTCCCTCTCGGGCGAAAAGTGGATTGCGGAAGCCCGTCTGGCTACATTGAATGTATGTGGAGGAATGAATGATAAGATGGATGAAGTTTGCGATATGATGTATGATAGAGGAATAGACGTGTTATGTGTAAATGAGACGAAACGGAAGGGAAAGGATGCCACTACACATGACATGTATACCGCGTACTGGTCTGGTGTAGACGAGACCGAGCGGGCATGCCAGGGAATCGGTATCATCCTTTCAGAAAGAATGGGTCATTGTGTTTTTTTTTTTTTATAGGAGAGGGGGCAAACGAGCATGCGGCTCACCTGATGGTAAGTGACTACCGCCGCCCATGAACAACTGCAACACCAGGGGAATCGCAGATGCGTTGCCGGCCTTTTAAAAAGGAGTACGCTCTTTTTTTGAAGGTCCCTAAGTCGTATCGGTCCGGAAAAATCGCTGATGGTAATCGATTCCACAAGGAGGTCGTGCGAGGAAGAAAACATCTTCTAAATCGCACAGTGGTGGACCGCCAATCATCCAGATGGTGTGGATGGTATCGGGAGTTCTGCCGCGATGTGCGTTCGTGAAATTTGGCGGCTGGGATTAATCCGAACAATTCCTCAGAGCACTCCCCATGGTAGATGCGAAAGAAAATGCAAAGGGATGCAACATCTCTTCGCAGTGCCAATGAATCGAGCCGATCGGAAAGGGCTCGGTCGTCGACAATTTGAGCCGCTCTGCGTTGGATGCGGTCAAGTGGAAGGAGCTGGCACTGGGGAGCCCCTGCCCAGAGATGGGAACAGTATTCCATGTGAGGCCGAACTTGCGCCTTGTAAAGTAGCAGGCGGTGTGCCGGCATGAAATACTGTCCCGCTCTGCTGAGCACGCCAAGCTTTTTAGAGGCCAATTTGGCCTTCCCTTCCAAGTGACCACGAAACTGCACGTCACTCGATATGTCGACTCCGAGGATACCGATACTGAGGTAAGAAGGGGAGTGCCTTGAAACTGAGGAGATACGACAAAGGGGTTCTTTTTAGCGGTAAACGCGCAAACTTGTGTCTTCTGAGGATTAAATTGGACTAGATTTAGTCGCCCCCAATCCGAGACTTTGTTCAGCAAAGACTCGACTTCAGACACAAGTTTGTTCCGGTACTCAGCGACGTTTTCCCGAGAAATATTGGCACGGCCGGTGTATAGAGCATCACCAGTGCTGTCATCCGCATAGCAATGAATGTTACAAGTTAGCAACATATCATTGATATGCAGAAGAAACAGCGTTGGTGATAGCACACAGCCTTGTGGAACACCAGCGTTAATAGGCTTGTAGTCAGAGCATGCACCGTCTACAATGACCTTGATGCTCCGATCTGCAAGGAAGCTGGTGATCCAATTGCACAATTTCTCGGGAAGCCCATAGGAAGGGAGCTTCAAAAGAAGCGCTTTGTGCCAAACCCGATCGAAGGCCTTCGCAATGTCCAGACTAACGGCCAACGCGTCCCCCTTGGACTCTACTGCCTCCGCCCATCTATGGGTCAGGTAGACCAGAAGATCACCAGCTGATCGACCCCGACGAAAACCGTATTGGCGGTCACTAATCAGCTGGTGATCCTCAAGGTACCGGATGAGCTGGCAGTTAATAATGGATTCCATTATTTTGGAGAACAAGGAGGTGATCGCGATAGGCCTATAGTTGGATGGGTCTGAGCGGTCGCCTTTTTTAGGGATCGGGTGGACAAAAGCTGTCTTCCATGAATTCGGGACTACGCCTTGATAGTAGGAGTACCGGAAAAGACGCGTTAGGACCGGTGCCAACTCCGGAGCACACGTCCTCAGCACAATTGGGGGGATTCCGTCAGGCCCACTCGACTTCTGGATGTCCAGGGAGAGCAGTGCTTTGCGAACCGAGCGCTGTGAGAACAGCACATCCGGCATGGAGCACTCACACCGCGGGATGGTCGGCGGTGTTTTCCCCCCGTCATCAAGAGTCGAGTTGGACGCAAAAAGGGAGCCTAAAAGGTCGGCTTTGTCTTTTGCGTCATGGGCCAGTGAGTCATCCTCCCAGTGCAGAGATGGTAGTGATGGCTTACAGAAATTCCCTAGTGAAAGAGTATGAATGTGTAAGCCCGAGACTGCTATGGTAACGAATGAAAGTGGGCTTAAAGAAGTTGTTTGTTTTAGGGGTACGCCCCAGACATGTCTAAGCCCACTTATATCCGAGAGCAGTTTTGGGAGTTGGTAAGGATGGTGCTAATGAAATGCAAGGTTAATGAAAATATTGTGATATTAGAAGATTTTAATGGAAGGGTTGGGGTGAGGAGGCTTGGATATGAAAGGATATTGGGAACGTTTGGTGATGAAAGTATAAATGAGAATGGTGAACGCCTCCTCACCGTATGTGTGGAAAAGATTATTTTTGTGACGAATACTTTCTTTCGTCATAAGAAGATTCACACGTATACATGAGAAAGAGGTGATGATAGAAGTATGATTGATTTCATAATTGTTGATGAAAGAATGAGGAGCGCGGTGGTAGATACAAGGGTTTACCGGGGCTCTAGCGTAGCGACGGACCATTACTTGGTCTTATGCCAAATTAATGGTCTTTTCAGACGGAGGCATCGGACGTCCATCTACCACTGCGTTACAGCGTATAAGAACAGAGAGGTTACAAGAGGAAGGTGTGAAAGAGAAGTTCAAATGTAGATTGAGAGAAAATATGTGGTATGGCTGAATTGTGTAAGAATGATTTAAACTTGGAGACTGTGTGGTATAATGTCAAAAAAGGTTTAGTGGATGCAGCTACCGAAGTATGTGGTGTAAGTAAGAGAACGAATGAAAGGAAAAATAACACGTTATGGTGGGTGACCTTTAGAGTTCGCGGTCCGCGCATTAGGCTACTGACGCTTCATTGGTGATGTTCTCATTTTAACTGCGACTTCAAAAAAGAGGAGATACTCAATTCGACTGTATGTTCTTTCTTTTTTATGTGTAATACCTCATAACTTTTTTCTGGTTGAACCGATTTCAATGATTCTTTTTTTAGTTGAAAGCTGGTGCTTCTCGTGTGGTCCCATATAAATTTGAGCAAGGTCTGACCTGTCTGCATGAGTTTTTGAGTTATTCTTAATAATTTATATTGAAGTCGGTTGTACAAAATTTTTAATTTTACCACTTGTTTTTTGTGGTTTTGCTTCGTATCGACTACGAGTTATACAGGAATTGCTTATACAATGTTAAAAAACACTCTACACTTAAGGATTATTTAAGCATTTATCATTTTCGGCCCGAAGGTAGATTGGTTCTTTTTGCATAAATACGTTCGACCAAGGCCGAATAACAGAACATTGAAGAAAAACGTGGTGCGGAAACTATCTAATGAAAAAACTATTCAAGGGCGTGTAATCTCTGCAAACCCGCACTAGACAGTCATTTGTTGTTACTCTACAAAAATATTTCAATGTTTGAAGTAATTACAAAAGGAAAACAAATTTGTTTTTTTTTTTTTTTAATAAATTGTTATCCACACACTAGAATTTTCTTCTGTAATTGGAGACAATCTATATGCATAAATTGCACAAGGACAAACATCCAGACCCGAAACAATTATTTTCAGACCATACAAATACTAGTTCCGTGCGGCATTCGAACTGACGTCCCTCGGCTGCGCAACTCATTACTAACCCACTGCGCTACGGAGCCGTATTTAATAGGTATCTCTGATGCTCTATTGCATAGCACGGTATACACAGAATAGAAAACAATTACCGAGCCATCGGTAACAGTTGTATGATGTACTGAAGTAGATTTTCTATGATATACTAAAGAAGACAAGAACCCGAGCAGATCAGCTTAGGTTGCGTCGACAGACATCTACCTAATCATATAATCGCACTCACCTCGGGATGGACAATATACTCTTCAATCTGATTAACAGCTTCCTTGAAGGCAGCAGTCTTGCAAGATTTAATCAGTTGCTCCTTGTGTTCTTGGTATGGCTTGATGTTGTGCTGTTCGATCCACGCACTGTTGACAATAAATATTAATTAAAGAGAAGCCGGAGCTTAGGTAATCCAGAACTCATATTTTTAAGAGAACTTATCACAAGCGACGTATATATTTGGTACCCGAATCAAATAAGAGTTACAAAAATATAGTTTCACATACTGAAGTCAGGGCCTTAATTAGGTCTTTTTTCTTCTTTCGATTTTAAAAAACGGAACCTCCACACTAGGATTTTCTCCTGTATCATGGGGGCAGTTTACAAACATAAATTGCACAAGGACAAACATCTAGACCCGGAACAATTATTTGTAGGCCATACAAATACTTGTTCCGTGCGGGATTCGAACTTAGCGCTGCAACTCAATTGTTAAGCCACTGCGCCACGGAGCCGTCTCAGGATATGATTTCAGTATTTGAAATTACTTTATTCTTTTTAGTTTTTAGAAGACGGTTTTTAGTTTATTTATAGAATAAACGTGACAAACGAGCACACAGTCCACCTGATTGTAAGTGGATGTTGTGGCACATAGATACTTCTGTCCTAGATTAAGAACTGAGGACTAAGATGGAAACTCACTATACTAAACAAAGCGAAATTAAGCTGTTTAATCTTAAGCTCTGTGAGAGCGTGGTCCTTCCCCGGTCGAGCCCACCCAATCTTGCATGCAGCGTGGCACTACCACGTATAAAATGTTGTTTATTAAAAGTTTTTTTTTTACTTTTAATAAAACAATTTTAATGGAATAAGCAATACCGCAAGCTCAAATGCCGTCGAAATGGTAATAAAAACCCTATTTTACCACGCTTAGTGGTGAAATTTTTACTCCTAACTCTGTGGAATCACCCATAAGAATAATCTATTAAATAAAAAAGAATCACGAAAATCAGTCATAAAAATATGTGTAACATACATAATACATAAACACTCACGCCTGTCATCCAGAGGGGTAGGCAGAGATTATAGACTTCCATTTGGAAAGATCCTGACAACGCTCTCGTCTCCTTTACATCCATATACCTACACCACAGAATAAATAATAGTACTACGTAAAGATGTTGCACTCCTTTGATATTGACTGCTTGCCGACGTTTTAATAGCCTACATAATTATTATTAGTTAGATAAATCAAGCGCGTAAGCTAAATTAAACCTTAGCCCTGCGTGCGAGTGCGGAATGAAAGCGAATTTTTGGAACGAAATTGTACATAGTAAAATGAATTTTATGTTAATTGCGTAACGTGCAAACTAGATATATATCAAAAAAGAAGTCGCGCGTTTACCGGGGAATTCCCGCGCATTCTCGAGAATTCCCGTAGCTACAGTCGGCGCAGCCTGTGGAATGCCGCGAAGGGTGACGTTTTCATTTCTTCCATAAATCATTAACCAAAATATTTATTTTCCTTTTTATGATATTCTTCCTTTTCTTATCATTTTCTTCTTCTGCCTCAAAAATAAGCAATATGAAAATAATATCCAATTAACCATTCTTGTCAAATAAAAGATGTAGACTAAATAACTGAACGGTGTCTATAATCGCGGGAACTCGCGCGCCTTCCCGCGCGACGAGGCGAAATTGACGCGTCCGTTCCATTCCATTCCGCCGCAATGTAAATTAAGCCAAAGCTTTTTGCATTTTTTCTTCTTCCTACGTCACAGATGATATTTCGTGGTTTCGTGGCTTACAACGAAGAGTAAAAATACAGTGCGTATATATAGTACCTTTTGATTATTTATTTAATTTACAACTTTTTTACTTTAATATAATGCTAATGCTACTAAAATGGGTACGACTTTCCATTGACGTCCGTCGAGTTTGGTATTGATACGTATTTTTACAGAAAGATTACATTTTTATAAGCACACACACACACACACAGTTTCAATATGCGGAAACATGTACTTTTTGAGAGAAAAGTATTGAAAATCAAATATTTTTGCAATATTTATGTAAATTCCTACCTACTTTGAAACTGACGCCATTTTTTATTATTATTGTCAGTAGGGATGTCGATTCTTTCCGAAAAAGATCGAGTTTTTAAATAGATTCGAATTGAAAGCTGATGTATCGATTCCCAAAAATCGATTTCTAAAATATCTATATTTTTTTCATGTTTGCATTTATAATGTAAATATAAATCCATTTTATGAGAAAAAAAATCCCTTCGTCATAAAAAAATAAGGGGACTGATTCAGAAGGATTTCTGTATCTATTTTGAGACTGCTACGTCTCCGGCTCTATAAAACCACTCTAGGGGTAGGACAGACTCGTACCAGGTGGAGTCGGGGTCAATCAATTCGGTTCTTTGACATAAGTTGAACCTAACCTATTTTATTTGTTATCTGCCCTAATAGGTACTGTTAAATAAAACAAATTTCAATAAGAGATCATTTATCATGGTATCTTTCTTGTTTTTCATAAAATGGGTTTATATTTACATTATAAATAGAAACATAAAAAACATATAGATATTTTAAAAATCGATTTATTGTGAACCGATACATCAGCTTACGATTTGAATCGATTTAAAAATCGACCTTTTTCGGAAAGAATCGATATCCCTATTGGCGTCGACATTGACATTACAAAATGGCGCCAGTTTTACGGTAGCATTAGACATAAACATTGCAAGAATAATTGATTTTCAATAATTCTTTTCTCAAAAATTACGCGTTTCCGCGTGTTGAAACTTTGTGTGTGCTCTTAATAGTGTAACTTTTCTGTAAAAATGCGTATCGACACCCAACTCGACGGACGTCAATGGAAAGCTAAGCCCTAAAATGTCTTATATTTTATTACAGTCTCTAAATTAACGGTTATTTAATTTAAGCGTAGAAAAACTCTAAATCAAACTTATAATTTTAAATACGGAATGGACGGGAAAACATTGACACGGAGTGATAAAATGAATATTCGTTAATAATTTTAGTAAATTATTAGTTGGTTTTATCATTATTGTTTTCCAAATTGTTAGTGAATGCATGTTCTATAATATACATATAAATTCCACTAAAACATTCACAACTATTTCATCCTATAACTAAATATACTAAACAATAAACAAATATATTTATAAAAGTATTTACAAAAAAATTATTTACATAAACATTGTTAAAAAGCTCGCGTAAAAGCTGAACGCACATTTGTCCGCACCGTACGCGTCGAGTTTTACTGATGGCCTCACACATTTGCACGTACGTACAAATCTTTTCTATTGCCAACAACTTTTGTAGTTTTTTCCAACCATTGATGTAAAACGGTATTGTGAAATTGATCGCTCGAAATCACTATGGAAAGAAATATAGTAATAGCCTGCTTATTAGCAGAGGAAGAAGAAAATAAAATTTGAAAAAGAAATAAGATGCTGGATTCATAATATTACGATGGCGGCACTGAAAATTTCGGGAATCAAGGAAGTGACACAACATTACTATTTAAAAATGTATTTATTGCTTTTCGAAGTATTTTCCGCGAAATTTGACACATTTTTCCATACGATGGACCAATCATTGAAGCAACCATTCCATTCGGAAGTTGGGGGTCTCCAAAATGGCCGTTTTGTAGGCGTCCACAGCTTCTTTAGGTGATGAAAATCTCTGTCCACGCAATTTATTCTTTATTTTAGGGAAATTATAGAAATCATTAGGGTTTAGGTCGGGGCTGTACGGCGGATGGTCTAATAATTCTATGTTTTCTTGCTCTAAAAACTCTTTTGTTCTGTGTGCGGTGTGAGAACTCGCATTGTCGTGATGGAGGATGATGCGGCGGTTGCAGTTCTCTTAAAGGAGTTCAGAAACGACCTGTGGCAAACAAATGCTAGCATACCATTCTGCATTAAACGTTATTTGTCCCTCCAAGAGGAATAGCCGTAACATGGCCGGTTTTGGAGACAAACATGGCCACCATTTTTTTTGCAACACTCCGTGAACGATCAATTTTTGTTGGCTTGAACTCATTTTCGAACACCCAAACTCGTGACTGGTTTTTTGTTTCGGGTTCGTACAGGTATATCCAGGATTCGTCACCTGATACGATGTTGTATACAGCATTTGAGGATCCTGCGTGGAATCTTTCGAGAGTTCTGACGCACCAAGTAACGCGAGCCGCTTTTTGCTCTTTACAGAGCGAATGCGGTATCCATCGGGAAAACAACTTTTTTACACCCAATTGTTCATGCAAGATTATTTGTGTTTGACTCATGCCAATGTCTAAAGTTGCTTGAATTTCGCGGTATGTCACATGTCGATCTTCCTCAATCAGCTTACGCACAGCATCAACGTTTTCTTGGGTGACTGCAGTTTTTGGACGACCTTGACGGGGATCATCTTTGAGCTTGACACGTCCACGTTGAAATTCAGCAAACCAGCGATAAATTGTGGTTTTGGATGGGGCTTCATCACCAAATGCAGAAATCATCCGGTCAACACACTGTTTTTGTGTTAAACCACTTCGAAAGTCACAATAAATCATCGCTCTTGAATTTTCTCGAGTCAATTCCATTTTCCCAACGACTAAACAAGTTTGACAAAACCTTGTGACAAGACCGAGAATCTTTTTTTTAAATAAATAAATGGTATTCGATTTTTAAAACCAAGGACTTTTCAATTAAAAAGATTTTAATATGACAGGAACAGTGGAAATATTCCATTCCTGATACTTTTAGCGCAGCCCTCGTAATTTAAAAAGGCAATTTTATAGAGAATATTATACTTTATTTAAATAATAATAATAATTTTTATTAACAAATAAAGCCTTAAACTTAATACAAAGTTATTGTAGATAAATTGTAACAAGATGGCTAGCCTAAATGACATAGAAATAAATGATCCCCTGACTTTCATGCTAGGGTAACCTGTTATGAAAGTCAGTGGTTCGGCTCTTTATAAGATATTCTTTAAAACAGCATTGCGAGTTCATTTAATTGGTGATTACATTATGGTAAGAAGTTTAAGAACAGGCAGTTAAAGAAAAATAATAGTTCGGTGATGGATATGTATGGCATACTGTGTGTGTGTGTGTGTGT